CCCCACCCCCGCCTTGCAGCTCTGCCTGCATTTTTTCTGTGGCCTCCAGCTGGGTCAGCTACACTCTCCATCCGCCTTTCCGTGTCTCCGTTGCCCACTCACTTCTAGAACTTCAGAAGGGCCAAGTGCAGGGAAACAGACGCGCGCGTGCCCTGCACTGCTGAGTGGAAAGGGTGGAAGTGATGGGCGTTCAGACCCTCAGCAGGCGGGCGCAGCCCCGTGGGCCTCGGGGAGCGGAGTGGCTTTGGGGCGATGGTGTCGGCTCCCGGACGGTGGGCAGGACCTCGTCCTGAGGCCGCCTGCGTCCTCCTAACTGCCCGTGCCCGGGGGCCAGAGGCAGCCCACACCTTCCCGCACTGTCCGTGTCCCCAGGATGCGATTAGTGACGGGAACAGGACAGATCTCCTTGCCCTTCCTTCCTGTGGGCCCGAGCCGGCCCCCAGAGCCGGGCTGACCACTGGGAGTGACCTCCTTCCCCACCCCTGCGCTCCGAGACCGAGGAAAATTCAAGGTGTGAGGTGGCCTGGAGGTGGCCAGTCTGAGGAGGAAGGAGACCCTGTGTCCCCATGACCTGCGGGCTCACATCCGCGTCTACGGGTCCCCATCATGGAGGCCGCCGGGCGGGGCCCCCGCGCCTGCAGAGGGCAGCACGACCGACCTCCGTCTGTCTGTCCCCCCTTCCAGCCTGAAGCTGCTTCTGCGTGGACGCGCTTTCCCAGGCAGGGGCCGGGGCTCCTCAGGGCTGGGGGCACAGGCACGGGCACGAGCTCAGTGACGTGAGGGTTCCACGGGGTGTCGCGGGCACAGAGCGGCGTGCGGGGCCAGATGGGCCCGTGCAGAGATCCGCAGTCTCTGCGGCATCTCGGGGGCGGCGTTAGGGCCACAACAAGGCAGCGCGCTGGGGCCTTTCCACCACAGCGCGTTCTCTCATTCGGGGCTGCGCCCCCTGAAGCCAGGACGGGGGGCCCTTCCAGACTCGTCCTGCCTCTCGTGTCCCCAGCGCCCCCGGCCAGCCCGGACCTTCAGTCCCGCCTCTGCCTCCGTTTCACTGTGTCTGGTCCCCTCGCAGGGACGCCCGTCACGCTGGGTCGGGACACCTGCTTCAGGATGGCCTCATCCTCCCCGGTTAGCTCTGCGAAGGCCCCGTTCCGAGGTCCTGGGGCGGGTGGGACTTCTACCCATTGTTTACAGGGGGACACAATTCAGCCCGTGTCCCTGAAATCGGGCGGGGCCACCTCCCAGACGGGGAGCCTGTGCGAGAAGGTACGGGATACACGCCCAGCCCTGGCTGCGTGTCCTCCGCAGGGAGAAGTCAGACTGCGACCCAAACGTCCAACCAGTGTTTGACGTGTCAGTCCGGGCCCTTGGGATAAACCCCAGGAGAAGCCCTGAGTCCCAAACCCAAACTTCTTGTTTGGGGGGAAGGCCTGGCTGGTTTGAGCGGCTAACTGACAGAGGCTGGGGAGGGACCATTGCCAGTAACACCAACTGGGTATCAGGCCGCTGGGGGTTTAAAGGTCCCGGGGCGCCTGGGGGCTCAGCTGGTTGAGCGTCCAACTTGAGCTCAGGTCATGATCTCACAGTTTGTGGGTTCGAGCCCCGCGTCGGGCTCTGTGCTGACAGCTCAGAGCCTGGAGCCTATTTCGGAGTCTGTGTCTCCCTCTCTCTGACCCTCCCCTGCTCACGCTGTCTCTCTCTCTCTCTCTCTCTCTCTCTCAGAAATAAATAAAACATTAAAAAAAAAATTAAAGTACACCATCCAGGGGCCTTTAGCACATTCACACTGCAGTGCAACCACCATCTCCCTGAAGAAGAGAAACCCCCATCAGTGGTCACGCCCCACCCCTCCCCTGCCCCCCCTACTGGGGGGCTCAGTTGGTTGAGTGTCTGACTTCCGCTCAGGTCATGATCTCACGGTTTGTGAGTTTGAGTCCCGTGTCAGGCTCTGTGCTGACAGCCAGGAGCCTGCTTCAGATTCTGTGTCTCCTTCTCTCTCTGCCCCTCCCCAGCTTGCACTCTCTCTCAAAAATAAATAAACATTAAAAACAATTTTTAATAAAAAAAAAGATCTGCTTCCTTAGCAACTTTCGAATATACCAGATTGCTTCACTCCAGCCCCTGCCGCCCATGTCATCGCCGGCGCGTACAGCTCGGAGTCTGTGCCTCCTGCCTCCCTTGCCCTCTCCCCCTGTCCCTCCCCACTCCCCATTTCCCCCAAAGCCCTCAGTTTGCCACCAAGGGGCAGCTTCGGAGGGAACAGGAGAGTGTTCAGAAAGCAGGAAGAAAAAGTTTGCAGCGCGACTGAGGAGCCACCTAGAAGGGGTCCCCATTTACAATGCCCACAGGAGCCGCAGCTCTGTCCCGTGAAGCACCGTGGACTTTCCCTCCAGGGCGGTTCCGCTTCTCCAAGGACAACCCTCCATCTTCCACGAGGCCCTGGGAACGTTGCTCCCCACCAGAGGCAGTGGCCTTGACGCCTGTTACACCCTACACTTGAGGAGCGAACTGTCGTTCCTCCGAAATGGCAGGCCTCCCAGATCTCAAGAATACGGAAGCGGGGCCCCGGGTTAACCAGAGCAGCCCCCATGGGGTTTGGGGGTGTTACGTCGCAGCCTCCTCTTCAGTAAATCAAGAACAGACTGTGCCAGGAAAAGATTCTTCCACATCCTGAGTTTTAATAGTTACACTACATCCACCACGTGGGCACAGCAACATCTACCGCAGCAAGTCTGGTGGGCGTTTGGTTTACTTCCATCGCCTATTATGTTTTAAAGCTGGAATAAACAGCTCTGTAGCCCAAAATACAGCACACTCCTTATTTCTAGAGAAATTCCCAGGAGGGGAATTTACTGGGTAGAGGGTGCACGGCTTTAGGGCTTTTGAGAGAAACTCCCGGAACTCTCCTCTATAGAAATGTTCAATGTCCCCACCAGCCCTCGTGAGGGTAAACAACCCCGCTTGTAGTAAATCAGAAGCTAGCGCTGGCCGGCCCTGGAAACACCACTGTTGGGTGAGTGGTTCCTTTGAATCCGTAGAATAAATAGCTCCTTAATGATGCCACCAGTAGATGGCACTCTTTGCTAAGGTTTTAGAGTCAGACTTCCAGAAAGGTGTTTTAAGACTTCATCCGGGTTGCATCAGAGAGCTGTGAGATATGCGTATTTCAAAGCATATTTGCAGGAGGAAATCGAGGACCTTATATGAAAAGCAATGGACAGTGTTGAGTAACAGTGGGGTCTTGGAATCCTGGGGGAGCTTGAAAGCCGTTCCCGGGGCATTGCAACCCTTTCGGCTTATGAAGGTCTCCCACGCCCACGGGCACACGTGGGTCCCTCTGCCTCCCTGGTTAATTCTCTCGTTAATCTCTCTTGTTAATCCCGGGAAAGCTGAAATGGTCTGGTTCCTCCTGACCAGCCCTCCACGTCCCGGTAGCGCCGTCTGCCTAATCACGGCTGCAGTTTTACAGTTCTGTGTGTGATTATTGATCGCCTCTGTCTTTTTGGAGGAGGCCCCCACCGCCATGTGCCTGGAGCCCAGGGCAGCACCCGATGCTGGTCAGAAGGGGAGGTCCCAGCCCACTTGCTGGTCAGACAACTTACATAACCCGGTCCAGCCTGTCTCTCAGCTACAAATTGGCTCTGAATCAGAATGTGTGCGCGGAGGCCTCGGCACTGTGCCTGGAGCCTCCTATGGGCTCAGTAAGTTTGCTCGGCCATTGGTGGTCAGGTCTCCTGCTCAGGAAGGACAGCGGGAAGAGCACGAGTGGAGAGACTGTTTTATTTCCCCTAAGCTACCAGTGTGGGCAGCATCTTGCTAGTTAATATTTGTATTGTGTGACCTGTCAGCGGCTGGGATTTCCTTCAGTTCTGACGTGGGGGGGGCCCACTGGGGGGCTGGGTGAGAATGGTCCAGAGCCTTGGCTAAACCTCCCCCCCACAAACACACCTTGGCTCCCCCCCCACCCCCCAAGACAAGATGCTACATCCTTTCCCTGAGCGCATGTCAGTTAAATGCTTTCCCGCTTCCAGGCCTGGCGTGACTCATCCTTCCCACGCCTGACTGACAGCTACCCTGCAGCCATTCTTACTTAAGGTGCCTCTCGGGGTCTTCAGGACCTACAAACTCCAGGCTCTTCACCCTGCACCTGCCTTTAAATTCCCGTGGGATTTGGGGGCTGGGTCGTCAGGATGCTCCTTCCAGAAGCCCCCATCCAGTCAACTAAGCAGACTGCTGGTTTCCCAAAGTCCGAGTCACCGCTTCTCAAAGCCGTGCAGCCCGACTCTGCTCTCTGGCAGGGAGATTCCCCTTAGGACACAGTGGAAATTGTTAGCCCAGGAAGGGGCTCAGGACGTGGCGTTGGCTCCCTCTTTTTGTTTTTCTGTTTATTTATTTATTTTGGGAGGGAGGGAGGGAGGGGCAGAGACAGAGGGAGAGACAGAATCCCAAGCAGATTCCGTGCTGTCAGCCCAGAGCCCGTCGCAGGGCTTGAACCCACGAACTGTGAGATCATGACCTGAGCCAAGATCAAGAGTCCACGCTCAACGGGCTGAGCCTCCCCAGCGGCTCCCGGGCCCCTCTTCCCTGAGCCCCACTCACCGGCCCCATGACTCGGTCCCCAGGCCCAAGCCGGGCCAACAGCTAGTTTCCCGCAGGAGGGCAGGCCTGGGACCGGCAAGCCTCCCGCCGCGCCCACGAGGCCCGAGCGCCCTCCAGCCGGGTGGGAAGGCGGGCCTTGTCTGAGCCGCAGCCCGGGGCGCCCGGCCCTCGGAGCCCCCCGCGGCCGCTCGCAGGTGCAGCGCCGGGGGCGGGGCCGCGCCACGGCGGCGGGCCGGGGGCGGGGCCGGGGGCCGGGCCGGGGGCGGGGCCGGGGGCGGGGCCGCGCGTCCGCGGCGGGACGGGAGCGGGGCCGGGGGGGCGGGGCGGCGGCGGCGTATAAAGGGGGCGGAGCGGCCGGGCCTGACGCAGCGCCGGCAGAGGGTCCTCGCTGGGCGGCGGCGCGCGCGCCTCGTGGCCCGGCCGGCGGCATGGCAGGCACCGGCCCGAAGCGGCGCGCGTCCGCGGCCCCGGCGGCGGCCGCGGAGGAGGAGCGGCAGGCGCGGGAGCGGATGCTGGCGGCGCGGCGCGCGGAGGGCGCGGAGGGCGCGGAGGGCGTGACCCTGCAGCGCAGCATCACGCTGCTCAACGGCGTGGCCATCATCGTGGGCACGATCATCGGCTCGGGCATCTTCGTGACGCCCACCGGCGTGCTCAAGGAGGCGGGCTCGCCGGGGCTGGCGCTGGTGGTGTGGGCCGTGTGCGGGGTCTTCTCCATCGTGGGGGCGCTGTGCTATGCGGAGCTGGGGACCACCATCACCAAGTCGGGGGGCGACTACGCGTACATGCTGGAGGTCTACGGCTCGCTGCCCGCCTTCCTGAAGCTCTGGATCGAGCTGCTCATCATCCGGCCGTCCTCGCAGTACATCGTGGCGCTCGTCTTCGCCACCTACCTGCTCAAGCCGCTCTTCCCCACCTGCCCGGTGCCCGAGGAGGCCGCCAAGCTCGTGGCCTGCCTCTGCGTGCGTGAGTACCGACCTCGGGGCGGCGGGGCGGGGGGGGGGGGGCGGCCCGAGCCGCGGCTCCCAGAGCCCACGTGGGTCTCATTCATTCAGCGGTGAGTCAGCAGGGTCCCCGCCCTCGGGGTCGCTGGGCGCCCCGCTTCCTCAGCCCGTTCACTCAGAGGCCGGAGCACACATCCCCGCGTCTGGAATAGCGTCGGCTCCGGGTGGGGTCTGAAAACGTTGCCTGTTGCAGGTTCCCGGTGCTGGCTGCTTATCAAATTGTAGTTTAAAAAAAAATTTTCATTCATTTCTGCTCTCCAAACCGGCTTATCAGGAGTCAGCAGAGGTTGGCTCGTACAAAACCAGTAGGAACAGAGTTCCGCGTTGCTGGTTTGGGCAGCAGTGTGGAAGTAAGTAGTAAAACAGGGAGTTGGCTGCAGATGAAATTTGTTGTGCGTTGGGGTGGAGGGTGGGTCTCGGGGTCCCAAGTGGTGCAGAGCAACAGCCCCCGGTCATATTCCTGATGTTGGGCAAGGTCTCGGTATGCTGGTGGGCACAGTCCGGGCACGCTCTTCACCTACGAGTGCTTCACAAAACAGTCTTCCCGTGGACTTCAGGAGAAACCATTTGTACCAAATGCCATGTGATTTTCCTCTCTGTTTTGGCTGCGGGTGCTTTTTACGCCGACCCCTTGGCCACCCTCTGAGGAGCCCCGCAAGGTGGAAGCGTCCGGCGTTCAGAGCTGCCACCTGACTCGAGGATTTGCCCAGAGCGAACAGGGCTCTGGGCATTTAGGGTTGGGGTCCCAGCCAGGAGACTCGGACATGCTGTGGGGGTTCTGGAGTGTGTGGACCAGGACTCCCACAGGAGCCAGGCTGTGGTGTAGGGGGAGGCGCGTTTGCTGAAGCGGGGAGTCCAGGGGGCAGAACCCCACGTGCAGCGCTGCTCGGCCGCCTGACACCGCACGCTTCCCTGAGGCCCTGAACAGAGCAGCCACGCCGGCTGCAGGAGCGTTATTTGCCTTTTTTGGGGCGGTTTCAGTCAGTGATGTGGATCTCAGCTTTAAAAAAACTTGCGTCTAAATCTAGGGAGAGTTACGTGAGAGTTGATGTCCTGGACCCCGAGAAAACCGTGGCTTCTGGTAGGTTCGAGATGAGGGTTTTCATGGGACAGCACGTTGGGCCGCGTATGAGAAAGCCCCTCTTCAAGGCAGGAGGGCTCTATGATTTGGTGTTACTACCAAATGATTTAACGTGTGGGCCTAGCACGTAATGAAATAAGTGATATCTTTAAATCACTGAAAGAGTGCTTACTTTTTTAAGCCTTTGGGTTTGAGTGGATGGATTGCAGGGGGGCTGCGGTGGGTCCCCGGTGCCCCCTGTGTCACTGCCCCTGTGAGCTGTGAGTGGGGACGGCGTTTCCCATGCGGCAGTCGGCCCTGGGGGCTCTTTTCCTCTGAGCCACTTTGTGGGTGGGTGTGGGTGGCTTTCTCCCGTGGAAAGAGGATTTTCCATCACAGAAAAGGACACGCTGCAAGCGGGGCACCAGTCTAGAGCCTCACTCCATCGGGAAAGGGATGAGGGCTCCTCCGAGGCTCACAGAGCTCAGAGCTGCCCGGCACGGCCTGCCCTGAACTGAGTAGGGAGGAAGGTCATAGACCTCCAGGGAGGTAGGCCAGCCCTTATAGGGGCATCTGACAAGGCAGGGAAAAGCCACGGAAAGTTTCTGAGTTCTTCAAATATCCCACAAAGGCCAGGTTGTAGAATTTCTACTTAAGAAGAAGGGCACTCTGCATGGCTTCCCTCCCGGAGCACATCCCTGCGGCGCCCCGCAGAAGGACCGAGGGGCGCCCCACGGAAAGGCCGGGTGGCCCGTTCCTTCCAGCAGTGTGTCCTGGGTGCTGGAGCAAAGCTCTCCGTTTTGCTGGTTGGTCTTTTCGGTGCCCTGGGCACACCCGCCACAGTTGCTTTCTGCTTCTTAAAAAATGGTGTTCTGGGGGCGCCTGGGTGGCTTAGTCGGTTAAGCGTCCGACTTTCGCTTAGGTCATGATCTCGCGGTTCGTGGGTTCGAGCCCCGCGTCGGGCTCTGTGCTGACTGCCAGCTCAGAGCCTGGAGCCTGTTTCAGTCTGTGACTCCCTCTCTCTCTCTGACCCTCCCCTGCTCACGCTGTCTCTCTCTCTCTCTCTCTCTCCTAGAAATAAATAAAACATTAAAAAAAAAATGGTGTTCTGAACAGGTTGGCCTAGGTGCTTAGACTGGTCATGCCGGCTCTAGATGTAAGTGGGAATAAAAGCCCTTTTCTTGTGGGTCTGACCAAAATGACCGGAAATGGGGCCCTTCCGTAGTGTGTGTGGCTCTGGGCTTTCTCGGTGCGTCGTGGAGGTGAGTGGAACTATCTGCGGCCACCTGTCCCAATGGCCGTGTGGGATCTGGCCTGAGTCTAGCATTACAGTCTCGCTTCACAAACTCTGGGTGGTGTTTGCTTGAAACCCTGATGCTGCTGGGCTTTCTTTCTGGGCAGAAGTCACGCAGACCAGAGCTGAGATTCTCACCAGCCTCGATTTGCTTTCGGCAGTTTTTCTGACCCCGCTGTGTGGGCTTTCTCTGTAAAATGGGTCTGGGGAGTGGGGGAGGCACCTGGGTGGCTCAGTCGATTAAGGTTCAGGTCATGATCTCACGGTTCCTGAGTGTGTCCTCCGTCCAGCTCCATGCTGATGGTGCAGAGCCTGCTTGGGATTCTCTCTTTCCCTCTCTGTCTGCCCCTTCTCCGCTCTCTTTCTCAAAATAACTAAATAAATTTAAAAAAAATTTTTAAATGGGTCCAGTGGTGTCCAGAGAGCCCAGAGCTAGGAGGCCACAGAGAGAGCTGGCCTGGGATCCAGACACCTGTTTGGGTCCTTTATGTCAAGGGAGAGTCTCCCCCTGCTGAGTCGTGGTCACCCCTACCCCTGGACGCAAAGGTGTCTGGTGCCCACCCTCTTCTCCCTCTCCCAGTGGGTGTCTGTGGGGGGCACACAGACTTGCCAGATGCTTGGGGAACTCAGAAGAGTGGTCCCCTGCAGGGTGGTGGCCCTTTGTGGGGTCCGGAAAGCACTCTGGCTGCCTTCTCATGGGAGACACCGGGGGTTGCCAGGGCTCCCTCGAGCAGGTAGCCCCCCACCGTGGCCGCGCTTTGGGCGGACCCGTGTGCGGCGGGGGGCGGCTGTGCTCTGCACGTGAGCAGACCCGGGTTCTGTCTCCGGAGAGCCGCTCGGACCCCCCAGTCTGACTCCGCATCTGTGCAGTGGGGATGGGTCACGGGCCTGCCTGGTATTTCATGAGCTCGGCACAGGAGGACCCCGGTCACACGGCGGCTGCAGCTTCTTCTCAACACCACCCTCTGTCTGGCGTTCACCTTTCAGTGCTCGAGCTGCCCTGGGACTTGGTCTGTTCCAGTTTAGCAGAAGGCGGAGGGGGGGAAATGGAGAGAAGGCAGGAGAAAGCCAGAGGTGAACCTCTAGCGTCCCCTCTAGGCCTGGGGTCTGAGCCCTTCACACGTCCCTCTCTGCCTCAGGGGCAGGAGACCGGCCTTCCAGTAGGTGAAGGGCACAGATAAGGGGTAGTCCCACAGCTGGCTGTGGCTTGCGGCCTGCTGACTTGAGGGTAAGTCCGTTGGGGTGATGACCAGAGGGGGAGGGGAGGCCATGGCTGTACCCCCTCCAGTCTTCTGCATCAGCTCCGGGCGGTGACCCGCTCCTGGAGGTGTGGAACCCCTCCTACACAAGGCGTCCGCCCTGCCTCGGGGCGTCTGAATGCCTGCGGGCCTCCAGGGCCAGGGCCGAATCTCTCTGCACAAGGCAAAGGCTTCTGGGTGTTTCCAGGGAGCTGTTGTTCCCCAGAGTCGCAAGCTGTGAGCTAAGTGCAGACGACAGCCCAGTCATTAGCACTTTAACAGCCAGACGAGAACGTGCTCCGGCCGCAGAGCGAGTCACGCCACATCACGGGGCTGGAGCCCAGGCGGTGGTGTCCTTCAAGACAGCGCGTGACCTCGAGGGGAGTGGGCGACGCGGGGTGGGCGTTTCTGACCCTGTTTTCCCCGGGTCACGGACCCCTTTGATAATCCGGTGGAATGTGCAGGCTCTGGGCAGAAACGCGTAGCAGGCGCATTAACTCCCAAGTGCGCGCAGTCACGGGGCCCTCACGCCCCTGCCCGCCTGAGGGCCCACAAGTGGATCTGACAGTCCTGGCCGGCACGTGCGTGAACTCACACCTCACGTGCTCCTGCCCCCCCCCCCCCCCGCAGCCTTTGAAACCAGCGTTCTCTTTTCCTCCATACAGCCGAGGAAACTGAGGCAGAGGTGGGCTGAGAGCCTGGGGCTGTGGCTCTGTGCGGGCTGAGCTGCCTTTTCTCATCACGTGTGTGGGGGGACACATGGTCACATCTTTGGGGAGAGTGGTAGATGCCAGGGTCACCACGTGCAGGCATCCGGTCAGCTGGGGTCAGGAGACGTGGGCCCAGACTCTTCGGTGACAGAGTGCCAGAGTCCAGATGCGGAGCCAGCTAGGGAGCCTTACACATTTCTGTGCACGTCTTTACCTTGCACAGTAGCTTCTGGAGCAGGATGGGTGGGTCAGCGGCACGTGCCCCGCCCCCCCCCAGCAGCCCCCCTTCCGGGACCCTCCCTGAGTGCTGGCCCCGGGGGCACTTGCCCACCCCCAGGACTAGCCCTGCCCCACCCCGACCACTGCCTGGGGCCCAGCCCGCAGCAGCTTATCGGCTCTGGGTTCTTAGGCTGGAGGATGCACGGCACGCCTGTCCCTCCCTGTCCCTCCGGGCCCGGGTCGCACCCGCCCCTCCCGCTAGGTGAGAACGGACACCGGATTCCTGTTCTGTTCCTGGAGCATGTTCGCAATCTGATCTGGGCTCTGAGTCACCCTGACCTTGCCTGCTGGTGGACATCTGGCGCTGCTGAGACCCAGCCGACTGTTTGGGACTCTCGGGAGTCACTCAAAATGTAGCCAGGGTAGGACCGAGGCACCAGA